CAAATATGTTGATAACCGCAGCTTATCTAACAAAAGAACTTCAGTAATTTGCATAAACAGGATGTTGTTCAGTTCTGTCAGAGATTACTAGAACATTAATGGCAAATTCACCTCATTTAAGCTACAACGGATGTGCTGTACTAATTAGGAGATTCAGAACTTATTAGTAACAAAAGTTGAACAAATTTCCAGCTCAATTGGGAACAAAAAAGGTAAAAAAAAAATATTAAAACGTTTAAGGGACYTTGCTGAAGAGCAGCAGTTGATAACAGCTTGTAGGCGGTAAATAGAAATATTTGTCAGATCTGAACACACTGAGTATTTCCTCTGAGACTAATGTGGTTTTCAGACACGGGTGTGTAGCCTGTTGATTAAGTTGCCAATAAAGGTCACCGTAAAAACGTCACAAATCGGTAAACGCATCTCAAATTGACATTTGAAGCTTGAGCTCTAAAGGAATCTGAAGCTGCTTCTGAGCTAAATGACTTAACTAATTGTGTTAAGCGTGTCTGCAGTCAGCTGATGTCTCTCGCTTCCATATTTAGGAGACAAACAACATCTCCGCTATCAGTGACATTAACAAGTTCCTGTTGTAAGTGCATGGGGCTACACACACGCTACCACATCGAGCTGCTTCTCTAAAGTAGACATTTGCTTTTAAATCTTTCTTTGTTTTTTTTTTCTAATTTAAATCAGTTGAGGTCTATATGAAGTGAAACTGCAAGAAAGCCCCTCTTTCATTCATTTTCTGAGGTGTCTCTCAAAGCTACGTGTTTTGTGGCTGTCTGTTTAAATCCAAACAAGGCATTTCAAACCCTGCCCACCTCCAACTTCCAATACGGTCTATTGTACCTTGATAGAGCCAGAGTCTGACCTGGAGCGAGAGGAAAATAAAGACGACAAAATTGAAATTGGAAAGTGAAGACCTTATTTAGAAATTCCGTCGCAAATACTTATGGCTGTGTATAAACAAGAATTTGGTGGTCACGACACAGTGGTCACGATATGATATATTGCGACACTGTAAGCAAGGCAAATTATTGCCATTTTTCCCCCAAAAAGATTCTAATAAAAAAACTCAGTAAAAAGAGCACACCATGGATTACATGCATAAATTCAGATTAAATTCAGTTTATTTTTATACAGTCAGAAGYACAATGAACAACAGTGAGAACTGCATTTGTATTTCACATTTTTTCACCATCCATCCATTAGGCCTTAATTAAAAATCATTACAGTGCTTTTGAAAATCAATACAGTKTCAGGAAGACAACAGAGAAAACTGAACGTTTTATTAAATAAGTCCCAAGCAGCACCACGAGACTAAATTTAGCTTCTCTGCAGCAATTCCAGTTTCACAACAACATGTATTTAATGGATAAGAAAAATAGTGGATTTTTCATGATATTTCCCCTTTAACCTGTGTGTGCACATCCCCCATCTTCCTTACAAACACACATTCATCAGCCCTCCAGTTTAACGTCACTGATTCCCATCATAGCGGTCTTATGACAGACCAGTCTGGCGTTGCAGCATTACTCACGGCTTCCCTCTGCCTTTTTTCTCTTTTACACACACACACACACACACACGTACACGGCTTCCGCACACAAGCTTCACACACTCATTGTCTGGCTCTGCTGTGACATTCAGTCAGCACAAATGTAGCCTGGCTGCTCAGCAAACAACCGGACAAAAGGCGGACCTCTTGTCAAAATGTGTCCTGTTATACGCTCAGCGTGTGGTTCTGTTCAACTTCTCCTCTTGAGACAGAGGACACTTCCCCCATCTCGCTGATGCAAACTAACGGTTGAACTCCCGAGTCTCATGTCCCTGCCCAATTTCCTTTGAGCTGAGCGACTGAAGAACGCTGGACTGAAACCGGGTTCTCACAGGTATTTTCATCACGTTGCAAAAAGGAAGAATGAGCGATCTTTTCCATAAAAGACAAAACAATTAAATCTGTTTACTGTTTGTCTAAAACCTCATCTAACCTCCATTAAAATTCACTTTACTACTTAAGAAATAGAAACCCCACAAAATATCTGAACAGCATTAACATATATTTTTTAAAAATTGCAACATTTAACACTCTTTTTTAAGTGGGATTAAAATATGCAGCAGCAGTTTTTGAAGCTTTTTTTTTTACCAAGTGGGAAGCGGCATTGCAAAATGTGATAAACTGCCTCTTTAATCAGTAGCTGTGCTTTAAATAAAGTCAAATATGTCAAGTTGGTCAAAATGAGAGACGCTCKATCTCAGCAGCCAATGTTTGTCTTGAGGCTGACATCTGAGAACTACAGTAATCTAAGATGCATAAATCTGGAAGTGATCTATGAGTGGATAAAAGAGCTTAATTCTTGTCCTGTTCCATTTTAATTTGATTTTCTTTAAAGTGTTCCTAAAAAGCATTCCTTAATTGGATGAGTTCCACCTGTTTGTTCAAATGGTTTTGACATTTAAATAACAAAGCAAATCATTAAAGCTCTCAAGAAA